AAAAAAAAAAAAAAAAAGAAAGAAAGGGTCTCTCTAAATTGCCCTAACTGGCCTTGAACTTGCAATCTTCCTGCCTCATCAGTATCTGAGATTATAAGCTTGTATCACATTGTCTGGAAAGGAGGCTCTTCCTCAGTGTCCTGGTTTCTGTTGGACCCTAATCGGAACCCTGGGTCTCCCTACCTGGGAATGCCACTCTGTGTGCATCTGTGTAGGATCTGGGTGCACACACACGAGTGGGCTCCGGGTAGTTTTGGGGCTGGAGCTGTATTTCCCTGGGGAGGCAGGCAGCACAGCCTTTCTGGTGGAGGTCTGGGTCCTGAGCTGTGCCCCGACCAATCACTTAGCCCTCCCTGAGCTGACTGAATCATGGAGCTTGAGCAGCCATTAGAGCCACAGGCTTTCCAACAGGTGTCTCTGTTTTGACCATCTGAGATCCTTCTCTCCAGGTTGTCCAAATATCCTAGGCTTAAGCCCTCGGTCCTCTCCCAGTCTCTGCCAGGAGATTACTGAGTAGGTGCTAGGGATTCCTGTTTCCAGCACCCCAATTCCAGCTGGGTAGCTCCCCGCAAAACCCTTCCAGCTCTTAGCAGGCTTCAGCGGCCGCACGGTTCTAGCGTGACAGCGCCCCCGTCAGGTGGGTGGGGCTCTGCGGCCAGGCCCCCCCGCCGCCCCTCGGGGCAGCACGTGCGGGGCGGGGTTGTGGACCGAGCAAGGAGCTGATTGGGCGTGGAACTGGTGGGCGGGTCCGGACCGCAGCTGTCAGAGCCGCCGCGGCGACGGCGGCGCGTCGGGCTGAACAGTGGCAGCGCCGCAGCCGGGGCCGGAGCCCGAGCTCAGAAGCCGACGGGGCCCAGCCGGGATGGTGCAGCGGCGGCTCCGCAGCGCACGCACGCACTGAGAGGGCCCAAGCTGGGCCCCGCGGCCCCCGCGCCCCCCGCCGCCCCGATCCCGGCCGGCATGATGTGCCTGGAATGCGCCTCGGCGGCGGCGGGCGGCGCGGAGGAGGAGGAGGCGGACGCGGAGCGGCGGCGCCGGCGCCGGGGGGCGCAGCGAGGGGCCGGCGGTAGCGGTTGTTGCGGGGCGCGGGGCGCCGGGAGCGCTGGAGTCGTGGCCCCCGACGATGAGGTGCAGACGCTGTCCGGCAGCGTGAGGCGGGCCCCGTCCGGACCCCCCAGCATCGCCGGCACCCCGGGCTGCGCAGCCGCTGCCAAGGGCCCCGGCGCACAGCAGCCCAAACCAGCCACCCTGGGCCGCGGGCGGGGGGCAGCTGCCGCCATCCTCAGCTTGGGCAACGTGCTTAACTACCTGGACAGGTACACCGTGGCAGGTGAGCAAGTGCCCCACCCAACCCGAGGACCAGGAATTCCCCCCAGCCCCCGCCCCAACGAAGTACCCTAGGGAGCTTTTTGGTCCCAGGTTCCCTATATCCAAGCCCTACGTGGAGTCCCCCAAGGACTGTATGCTCAGGCACAACTGAGCAAGTGATGCCCCAGTGCTCCACGGGTTTAATCTGAAACCCCCACACACAACCAGGGGACAGGGATTGGACAAGTCTCCATCCCTAAATCAGCCGGCGCGTCCTCGCCAGCCCTTGACGGCCCTTCCGTTTTCCTCTTCTCCGAGTCTCCTCTGCGTCTCTGCGTTCTTTCCTCTGCGTCCCCTCCCGCCACAGCCGCAGGTTCCCGGGCCTCTCTTCGTCTTCCCCTAGCCCAGGCCGTCTGTGTATCCAGGGCCCGTCAGTTCTTTCCTTCCTCGGCCGCTTCCACCACCCAGAGTGCGTGCGGCGAGTGTGTGCGCCCCTTGCGGGTGTGCGCCAGGGAGACTAAGTGTGTGCGCTCGTGGCGGCGCGGATGTGTGTGTGAGCTTGTGAGCGCGTGGCTGACAAAGGCTCCGGCCTGCGGGGAGCCGAGGGAGGGGCGGGGCGGGTCCGCGGCGCCTGGGGACCCTGGATGCGGTTTGCAGCTGGCCCTGGCTACAGGCCTGAAGACGCCTCCCCCTGCTCTATGGCGCTTGGGGCCTGGGGCACAGCACCGGCCTCTGGGGCGAAAGAGGGGAGGCCTCATCCTCTGTGAACACCTCTGGGAATCAGCGATAAAGATGGGATTGAGATGGATAGAACAACTGGATTCTAATCCCATATTTGTCCCAAATGTGCTTTGTGTGTGACCTTGGGCCAGTCTCAGTTTATGTTTAGGTCTGTCTCCCTATTTGTGAGTTGATTGACCCCTCTTGGGATGGAGACGGTTCTGGGATTCCCTTCTGCTGGCTCCTCTCCCTGACTTCTCAGGGGTCAAGAAGTAGGGACTTGCTCTAGATGGATGGGCCTCCGACTGGGAATGATATAGTGCTGAGAGGAAAGGAATCTGGCCAGGGTGGCATAGGTGGAGGCTCCCTGCAGGAGGAGAGCAGTTCTGGATATTTGACATGCTAGTCCAGAACCTGCCACCACAGAACAAAGGGGAGGTTTAGGATAGACTCTAAAGAAAATTTAGGGATGATTGGCAAGTGAATTATTAAATACATGCCACCTGGGTGTTCCTCTCTCTGGGCCTTAGTTTCTTGTCTGTTGAATGGAGTTGTATCAAGTGTAAGGGAAAAACTCTAATGGGAGAGCAGAAGCTTCCCTTTCTCCCAATTCATGCTTGCAAAACCCTTTGGGCTCTCTGTCCCTCCACTGGGGAGAGTTGGAAGTAGGTTCTAGTGGTATCAGTACTCCAATGGGTTGAGCTATCTCCAAGAGACTCTTACCTTGATCTGGTGAACAGGAGCAGTATTGAGTACTCCCCAAATTCTGGGTGTGGTGACGCATGCCTGTAAATCATTCCAGGGACTCGGGAGGCTGAGGCAGGAGAGGAGGATTGCAAGTTTAAGGCCAACCTCAGCAACCTAGTGAGAACCTCAGTAACTTAGCAAGTCCCTGCCTCAAAATAAAAAATTAAAAAGTGCTCCTGGGTTCAATCCCCAGTACCAAAACAAACAAAAACACCCCAGTGTACCGACCCTGTCATACTTGTGCCATTCTGCCTAGGAGCTTAGCTGCCACCCTGTGGGGAAAAGTCAGAGAATATCAGGGACTTGTAATTGGTGCAAAGTAGGCTTCTGTATACCTTCTGTACACCTTGATGGGGGAATCAAGGCCCTTGGACAGGCCCTCATCCAAGATGGCCCCAAAGGTGGACAACAAAGGTGGTGTTAGATCTAATAGTAAGTCTGTCTGGAGGTCTCCCCACTCTCTCCCAGCTGAGGAGAGACTGTAACACTTTCCGACTCATTTTTTTTTTTCTGGCTCTAGACCACCCCCTCTGACATTCTTGAGGGAACTGACTCTGCCAGGGGGAGAGGGTGGGATCAGGAGTTCTGGTGCTTATCTGCTCCTACCTCTACATGGGTTAGACTGTCAGAATGGGGGAACAAGATAGCTAATTTCTGGTGAATTGGTCAGGGGGATGGGAATAGGTGACTAAGAGGGGTGTGGGGCAGTGGGGAGGAAGGCCCGGAAAGCCCTGGGCAAACACCCAGCTTGGGCTGTGCATCCTGCCCTGTGGAGGCCCAGGGCTGGGGCTCATGCACCACCCCGCCCCCAGCACATAACATGTGCTGATTTCCTCTCCGGATAAGCCTGGCTACCTCTCTCTTTATGTGACACTTCCCTCCCACTGCCCCCAAGTTCAGTTTTTTAGGAACATTAACCGTCTCTATGGTAAAATTACTATGGCTTTATGTTCCTTGTGCCAGGGCCTGTGTCTACCTGTTGGCTCCTGGGACAGAGGCAGGATGCAGGTACTCTGCTGTTCAGTCACCTTTGATATTTGCCCACTTGGACTCTGAGAACCTCACAACTGGGCCCCATCAAAGAAGGAAGGAATTCCCACTCTCCTTTATATTTATCCTGTGCATTTCTTTATTTTATGGTATAGACCAACTCTGTCCAAGAGGAATATAATGCAAGCCACATTAGTTTCAAATTTTCTGGTAACCAGATTATAAAAGAAATAAGATACAATTAAATAATAATATATTTTACTTAATGTATCCAACATATTTCAATGTGTATTAATATCAAATGATTACTGGGATATTTTGCATTTTTTCATACTGTCTTTGAAATCCAGTGCATAATTTACCTTCTCAGCACATGTCAGTGTCACAGTGGACAGTCACCAGCTGGCTGGGGGTCACCAGCGTGGACAATAACTGGTCTAGAGTCCACGCTCTTCAGCTTGGCCAGCTGCGTGACCTTGCAGCCATCACCTGAGCCTTCTGTGGGATCATCTCAACCTCCTGGGCTGTGTGGAATGAATGAGAATGTATCCAAAGCACCTGGGACTAGGCCAGATAGCTCTGAAGGCTTTACAAATGTCAGCTGCCTTCTCTTTCATGCAGAGGCTCAAGCTGTGTCCCCAGCTAGAATGTCCTTCCCATTTCTCTGTGATAGTCCCTTTCAGACACCTTTGCTAGCTCCTCCCTTTGCACCAGGGCTGGGCTCTATCCTGGGAACCCAGTGGCTTCTGCCTCTGCCCTAGCATTCCCAGCGCCACCCAGCGATCCTGTTAATTATGGTCTTTCCACCTCCCCATGAGAACCCCCTGAGGGCAGCCGGCCTCAGACCCAGGTGAGGAGGCCCAGGCACCCATTCCCTTTTCTTCTTGAGCATTGCTTTGGTTGGATGAAATTGAGGTAGTCTAGAAATCTCATCTAAATCCTTCCCTCTACCTCCTTGTGCAGATGGGGACTGATGCCTAGAACAAAGGAACTTTCCCAGGGTCACATATCATGCCCCAATGCAGCAGGCCCTCTAGCTCCAGGAACCTTGGGTGGAGGTAGGGCATGTCCCCTGCTTCTGATCTGGAAGCTCAGAGATTCTGCTGGCCAGGGAAAGAGCCCTCCTGGACAGGTGAATTTGGGTTCCATTTAGTTCAGGCAGTTTGAGTTCCCTTAGGGCACGTGGCTCCCTCCGCTCTGCCAACCCAGCAGCCACCCACTGTGTATTCTGAGCCCCCCATGGCTGCCAGGTCAGAGGAAGGAGGAAGCCCCTCAGGAGAGGGTCGTAAGCAGCCGCTCCCTTCCCAGCTCTGCTTCCTGATGCCAGAGCGGCCTCTGCCCCCGGGATCCCATTCTGCCATCTGTAAAATGGAAGCAGAACTGAGGGTGTAGGTGGTAGCATTTTGCTCCTGGAACCAGGCCCAGCAAGAGGGAGCTGGTCCAGGCCCTAATTATGGTTGGTGAATGACTATTGGAGAATTGAGATTCTTTCCCAACTTTTCTGAGGCACCTGTTCCCTTCTCAAGACCTATTTTCTTTCCCTTTGATCCAGCCCACCACACACTGGGCATTGGAGTTGGGCGGAGTGGGGGCTGGTGATAAGAGGCAGAGCCCTGCCCTGGGGGAGTCCTTTTCTGCCAAAGAAGCTGAGACCAGTCTCCATGGCAACCACTCACTAACACAAACCCAGAAGGAGAGATGAGCCCAGGGACCCAGCCAGGAGCTGGGGCTCAGGGGGCTTCCCCTGAGTGGCCTCGATGAATACAGACGGGGAGGAGCTGTCAGGTTGGGGCTCATTCTCCTAGTGGCTTTCTTCCCTATGTCCAATAGAGTCTATCAGGAGCTGACGGATGGGGAAACTGAGGCCTAGGGTCTTTCACATAGGTACCAAGCCAGTCCTAGAGCCTAGTGACTGTGTGGTTATCCACGAGATAGGTAGTCATCACCTTAAGGATAAACACAGTCCCCGCCCTGCTCCTTTGAGTGGCCCTGTCCTGGTCATTGCCATGTCTGTACAGTGGGGAAGTCCCAGCTAAGGGCCGAGGGGTGGAGCATCTTGATCACCTTTCTGGCAGAGGACGTGCTCAGGTGAGGCCACAGTGACTGATCACCAGCTGCCCTTTCCCTCAAGGCTGCTTCTCTCTCCAGGCACTTCCTGCTGCTTCTGCCAGCACCCCTACTGTGCTGCTGACCTGTCGGAGGCAATGCCATGAGGCTCACCTAGCCTGGGACCCCGCGCCAGACACATCCCTGGCCTAAGCCTCCGTTTCCCATTTTGTGATTGGGGCAGGAAGGCTACTGACTGCATGCAGTTCACAGCCTGTCCTGGGAGTGAGGCTGCCCTAGACAGAGCTGCCCAGGGACAGAGCTCCTCATCCCTTCCCTAGACCCTTCCACAAAAAGAAGTGGCTTTTGTTTCTGCTTGGGTGTGGGGGACTGAAATCTTGAGAGACAGATAAGAATAAGGGAGGCAAGCTGCATGGTGGCTCGCGCCTATGATCCCAGCAACTCGGGAGGCTGAGGCAGGAGGATCACAAGTTTAAGGCCAGTTCTAGGCAACTTGGC